TCGAAATCAGCTACCGCGTGTTTCTAAATATTTAACTTGCCTGCAGCCTCGAGCATTTCACCGGTACTTCGCAAGACCGTCGATATTGCCTCGCAGTAAGATGCCTTGACGACTTCTCAGCGGGGATGAGTTTGTCGTACGGAGTAAGTTGAACGGTACATGTGCATGACGGTGATTATCCTGACGTTCCTGCGAGACGAGAGACGGGTTTTCAACCGACAAATCTCAAATCAATCTTGGAGTCGAGCACGCATATAGCGAATTACATGAGAGGTGTATGATTGAAACATTATTATACAGGTTGACTCATTTTAATCTACCACCCCTTTTATTTTTGCAGCAATATCTGCAAGCCATATTAAAATAGTACTTTCTAGAATCGAATTTTATGCTAAATCGAATCGTTTTATCTTTCTCGACATACTTCCCTCACCATCTATGATTCTTATTCATAATAATTGAAAAACACATTTTGGTTTTACAAACGATCGTTACAAATGAGTCATGTTGCGGAGAAGGCGGGACGGCTTTTACGGTGCAACAATTATCACAAAAAATACCTTAGCGCACGCATATTGATATATTCCAAATCTTCAAGGTAATTTAACAATGCTGATCTTACCTCAAATTAGCTGCGAGCGAATTCTGTCGTGACCACGACGTACGATTATTGCCGAGCTTCCCGAGATGCAGGTCGCTTTGATTCAATTAGCTCTGCAGCGTCGATCGATGCTGGATTTCCTCTCGAAGTCGAGAGCATCTCTTACCAAAATCGAGTCGAAGATTACTCGCGTTGCACCGCCAGTTAAACCCAACGGAGAGAAACAAAGTGCGTTACATATCTTCCGGCTAACGAGAGATCGATATACTCACCTATATTATTGCAGATTTCTTCGAAATGGCAGATCAACGGAAGTATCTTTTTCATAAATTATTACGTCCATAATTCGAGGAACAAATCGCCATTAATATTTTATCGCGAACTAGCATCAACACTCGACGACGTGGCGTTTCGCTGTGACTGTTACCGGATTAAAAATCGAGCGACGCTTCGATGCATCCGGCAAAATCGCCGGCTCGCTAAGTCCGCTCTCTCGGAAGGAAAATTCTGGCTGCCCGTAGCCGCAAAGATTGGGCAACTATCGGGACTATCCGAGGATAGTCACGCCCCGAATAAAAGGGAACGACCAATGGGACGAGTTTAGGTAGAGGGTCGATCGCAAAATTAAAATATCCTTCCCACGTAATGACGCGGGAGATACGCCGGTAACGATGCACGTGAGTCCGCGGGGCAAGGGCTAGGGGTTCTGGTCCTGGGTCGTTCCCTTCGTCGGAAAGGGTGGTCCCTGCTCTCTCTCTCTCTCTCTCGAACCCTCGAGCCGAAGGGTTTCGCGAAGTACCCCTCGGAATCGCGGATCCGACGGACATATGCTCGAAGCAGGGGAGAGAGAGAAGCGTTATTGTATTATTCACGACTCTGGACCCCGTAAGATAACGTTACTATGATTTTTAATACGGCCACGCGATTCCGGAGGGGAGAATGCGGGTTGTGTGTGCTATGCTTCTGCTTCTCGGTAATGGGATTAGTCGTGTTGTCAGGGGTTTAAAATCGCGGCTATGTTTTCTCAATTCCGCCGGTGCGCCAAATAACACGACATGTTACCGGCCAATATCAGAAAGACATTCGTCCTATGGGATATACGTTAACGAACGAAATCAAATTCTAATAATCGATGAGAGAGACACATTTTCTCTTTTAACGGATAAGAGATGCGGGAATACAAGATTTGAGAGGCAAAATTTCCTATGAGATAAAACTTGATGTCACACTGTTCCATAGAAGCGGAATATTGGTCAACAAATGAACAAACGAGATTTATTCATCCGCTCGTATCCTCCAGTGGGAAGTGATCTAAAACGAAACGACTTCGTGGACATCAATACTTTAACAGCGATAGTCACCATCGACTACCCGATATCCGTAACAAAGTGCAGTTAGATGCATGACATTGCACATGCAGCGGGAGTATCCTATTGTATCAGTGTTTCATCATCGTGTCAAATTGTGCGCTGGCAAACAGTTCGCCCCAATCAAGAGACGATCATCGGGTCGCTGTCCACCCCGGCGTAACAATAAACGCGTCGTCGCGCGCAATTAATTTTTGAGCGCATCGGGCAGGTGCAACCGGCGCGGCGTCGTTCGCACGAGGACGCGCTCTTGCAATGACGAGGCCGAAACCACCGTCGATCGTGGAAGTGGGTGGACGAAACGGCGTCTGTTTCACGTCGAGCATCAATTTTCCGCTTTATGAGCGCGGAGGTGGGCGCATCGCGCCGTTCGAAATCGACGGCAGCGGCTAATCAAAGAATTAGTCGTGCGTGCGAAAGTCAAACGGCGTATTACCCTTGTAACGTTATCTCGCTGATCTACCGTCTACCCGTCGATAGGCTCCGTTGTATCGCAACAGCGGTTTTGCCGGGGAATCTCAATACAAATACCTTACGTGGGTACAATGCATATGCATCCGCTCAAATTACAGATGCATATGCCTGTGTGTCTATGAATAACGATTAGGTTTCTATCTTCGTGCGAATCCACGTTGCACGTGTGTGACTCGATCGTGTATCCGTAATATCACCAAACGGTGCACGGAGAAAAATAATTTTGCAATAATATAATTAATATTTGCTGTAATAATCGGAAACAGCTAAAATATATATAGAAAATATTCTGCCGAGTGAATTTGTCCTTAGGACCAATTAATTTGGTATGGGATTGTTAATTTGCTGCTGAAAAAATAATGTTTTTTTCTTTTTACGTTTACTAATTTGTTCTTTCAGCAAAATAATTTGTGGACTGAGCAAAATGATTCAGTGAATGGTAACTGGTACTTTAAAAAAAATCGTTTTGCTGTCCACCTAATAATTGACAGATTCTGCGATAGCCTAAAATTTGCTGTGCCAGCAAATTATTTTTCTCCGTGTAAATCCTACATTTTTCCATATATGCATCGTACTTATTACTTATTTCTTAAACACGTCATCATCAGTATCTATCTTAGTAGAAACATTGATCGCACGGCATTCCCGCAAACTTTTTCCCCACAATTAGTCTTCGTTTATTTTTAAATATCCCATTGTACCGCCCAATTTAATTTGCGCTTACTAACGACGTTTCTCTCTCGGCCAAAGTACGGCTATTAATGACGCTTCGCTCAACTGAAGATAGACATCTACGTCCTTAAATGGCTCTTTCTCAGCTACCTCTCGCTAATGTACATATTTACCCTCGTTCCTTCTAGCTTATAATTAAGAGCCGTGAGTTTCCTTCACCTACGTCCCACGTAATATTCCTCTCGAAAATAAATTAATACCCGAGACAAAAGTAGCTTCTGCATAATTTCGCACGATGGTCATATTAAAGTGTCGTCGCGAAGTAGAACCTATCTATATCGCGCCTGCTTCCGTGCAAAACGCTTTTTGACGTCTCCGATATCTCTCGGTCAAGCTCGTTCATATCGAAATATCAGCCGAATCTCGCATTCCGCAGTTCTCCCGCCATTTTTCTCTCGTTATCCTCGCACCGGTGATTTTTATCTCTGCCTGCGCTGTAGGGGTTTCATCGGCGCGATATACTCGAGATGCAAACTCGCGTAACCGAAGGGGCGGCGGTGGAGAACGGGCGAGAGATAAGACCGAGAGTGCGTCTCAGTTTCTAAGGCGGATCCGAGATTTGATTTGAGCCTGCCGAGCTGCTGAATATCGACCCGCGGCGAGATACGAGCTTACGCTTCGCCCCTCGCAGAAATACCGACGGGAAGATTCCCCGGTGTAAACCGACGCTCGCTACCGGCATAATCTCCTTCCTATAAAAATGATCCACCTACGCAACAGACAGCGATGGATACGAGTTCGTCCCGAAGAAATTTGTCTCTCCGAGGTATCTCCCGATTTTGCAAATTTCTCGTGGGTCGAATTAGGGTTAACGGCGTCGTGTTGTCCTCCCTGTTTTGCTCATGGATTTCCCAGCGACTCACGCAAGCGTATTCTTAGGTGATTTGCTTAAAACTATCGTTTTTATTAAATATTATTAAATTTATCGCGTCAGGATCGTTCAACTTTTCAGGAAAGAATTTTTTGAACATGTCAAGTAAGAAATGGAATTTTGCAACTACCACTGCTATCTTGTTTCCATCGAGTTAAATCATACTTTGGATTCATCGTCTGTACACCGGTACAACAAGAGGCAGAGAGAAGGGGGAGGCCAAAGAGTCGATAATAATAGAAAGATGGGTAAAGAGGCCGTATAAAATTTCCGGCGATATTAGCCACCCGTGGAATTAGCGCTGCGAGAAAATGCCCTACTCACTGTCGTTCCCCGGGGAGAGCAGTTGGGGTAAACCCCGAAAGGGGCACCCTCTCGTAGAAGGGCGGGGCCCTGTACAAAGGGGCCCAGGATTAAAAACCCACCCCTGGGTGGAGTTTTCGACGTATATATATATAGCTCTCTGTCCTCGAGTTTCCAGAACTTGACGAACCACCATGTAGTGAGGACGTGTGCGAGGGTCGATGTGTTTCATTTGATGTTTTATGTAACACGTTATGCAAAGAAATTAAATTAGTTACATATATATACGAATCGTGCGGCAGAGTTGTATGAAAGCAATAGTATCAAAGTAGTTAAATTGAAAGTGGTGCGCACGGATCAGAATTGATTACGGCCGGGTGAATCAGAAAATGCGGAGAAATCATTCCAAGAAGAAACGTCAAAGAGGCTGAAAAAAGGACACCGGGATATAACGAAGTACCTTCCCCGGAGAAAGAAGGCGAATTCCGCCGACGTTAAATTCAAAGCGGGCACCGAATGTAAAGTTGAGCGCAACGAGGAAATTTCAATGAATCTTCGGATTACCTTGTGTCGCGTGTGAAATCCGCGGCTGGGATCTCGACGTAACTTCGACAGTTGCGCCGATCTTCTAGAACATCCTTCGTCACGAAGGATGTCCCGAAGTTTCTTCGTGGATTCTTTAATCGGCAATAACTCGTCGCCCTCATATCCCCTGCCGTATTATGGAAATCAGCTGCCTAATTACATGTTCAATTTCTTCAATTTGGGCTTAAACTACCAACCGATCAGGCCGATACCCAGGCCACCCACCGTGCCGGTGCACATCAGCCCGCCCGCCCTGAGCGTCTTGCCGATACCTGGACAGACTCCTCCGTCGCCTCTGAACACCTCGACCAATAATGTATCAGGTAAATATGTCTGCTTATTGATTTACAATCTATGCCGTAACGATAATATTAAACATCTCGAATTGCTGGTCCACGTAGAAAATGTGAATAATGCCTTCCAATCGCATTTTACATTTATAAAGATATACAGATATATTTTCGGATTAACGGTAGATATTTTAAAAAATGCGCGAACAGCTGAATACGAAATTGAAACATGGATTAGATAATATTAAATGAGCAATAAAATAAGAAATAATTTCGCATTCAATCAACCTTCACGATACGCGATACACAAAATGTTCGAGCCGAGAATATCCAAAGGGAAGGAAACTGTAAGGCGTTATCGACTTCTAGAACAAAGCATGGAACCCATCGAGCTCACCCATCGCGACAACGATCTCACGGAGACGCCATTAACCCCTGACCTTTTGCAGAGGTTTCAGCGCCCAACGAGTCCCCGTCTCGCAGCAATACACCGACACCTCCGCCGAAGTCCCCGGTTTCCATCGGCAACAGCTCGAAGCGCATCCGCACCGCATTCACCAGCACGCAACTGCTGCAGTTGGAGCGCGAATTCGCCGCGAACATGTATCTGTCGCGACTGCGTCGCATCGAGATAGCGACCAATCTCCAGCTGTCAGAGAAGCAAGTGAAGATCTGGTTCCAGAATCGGCGAGTGAAGTACAAGAAAGAAGACCTCCCGTCCGGCCAGAGCCAGAAGTGTTGCTGCCTGAGGACCTGCGGCAAACGAAAGGACGACTGCAGCGAGGGCTCGCCCGGTCGGAAGTGCGGTCGGGAAAAAGAGGAGAAGGAATCTCCGAAGAGGAGTGAGAGTGGCGACGGCAAAGCCACTCGCGAGCCCAACGAGATCGAACGCCTGGAACGGTCGACCGCGCACGAGGACGTTCGCTGCGAAGGCGTCACGAACTTCCGGAAGATAAACGACACGCAGGATCGGGTCACCGAGTACGAGGCGCGAGATTTCTCCCGGGGTTGTAAGAGGAGTATGGAGGAGGAAGCTAACGAAAGAACCGACAAAAAAAGGATGGATACCGCGGCGACTTATCAAACCCCGTGGGCGATCGAGAATCCGATGCTGAGAAGCAAAGGATGCATAAAGCATACGGTCGAGCGGATCGTTAACTCGTAGAGCCGATGGAGAGAGAGAGAGAGGGAAGGAGAAAGAGCTGTGCACAAGCTTATTATATAATTACTACCGCTATTACTGATTATTAGTAAATGTAATTTCCCTCATATGATTACGTTTAATTTATTAACTTAATAATTTCAGTCGTTCACAATTTTAATTCATTTATTGATTTCAACTGCATTTCGAAATTAATTGAATTCAACGCCTGCACAACTGTTTATATTCGTTGTGAATGATTGAAATTAATCGATTGATAAATTTTATAAATATTTGTACCGCCGTCGCTGTAACTATATAACGTAATATAATGTAATTATTAAATGTGTAACTCTGTCAGAGAAAATGCTCGTGACCGGAGAAATGTCAGCAACACGAGAATGTGCTGACCTGTTGTAAATATTGTATATATATCTTTACATGTTTTATGTGCGAAAAAGAAACAGAATTTGTATATTTTTAATATAAAGTGAGCCAAATTAAAATTCATTTTCTACCTGATTAATATGTCTTCATTAATACCTTACGCTGTTCTTTGAAAGTAATTAAATATTTCTTTATTGAAAAAATAAATTTTAACATAATCATATATAAAGTTTAAATTTTTATATGAAATATATTATTGAAGAAACAATATTCCCGACACAAATATGCCGAAAGCATGACATTAATATATCATAAAGAGTAAATATACAAAATGATTTTATTTAAAACCTGGTAAACCCTCTCGTCACACAATAATATAAAATAAATATGTTTACCTATGTAGAATATTATATTTTCAATTACATTTATTAAATTTTTTATTATTAAAATACTAATGCATCTTTATTTACCTTTTATAATTACTATTAATGACATAAAGAAATATTAAAAAAAAATGATTTTAGAAACATATTTCTCTTATTATGACGCGATCTAAAAAATAACAAAGGTAATAACATAAAATATTTTTTCTAACATCAACGACATAAATGATAATATAATATATATAAATTGATCAACGAAGTTAATATCATCTTGTTACATATATATACACACAATTGTAGATAGATAGATTGATCTATTTCATATCAGAGATATATTTTATATTAAACAATCGACTCAAATAGCCAGTGTCGATATTGGCAGGTAAAAAGTTACAAATAACCATTTCCCAAAACATGGCTCCTGGTGTATGAAATATATAACGCATCAAGTGTTCGTCATAAAAAGAATAATCCCCGACACATGTCACCACTTCCGAGGACGCCAGGACGAGCTCCTGTGCGCGATTTTCCAGCCAAACGACCAGCCAGAAAGAGTACAACTCAACGGGAGCAGAACGCGGTCACTCCAAGGACCCGTCTCTATTGTCGGCAGGAATCCGCTCGTATGATGCCTTGAATTCTGTAAATTTGTCAAGAGGGCCCCCCACTTTAGCTCAAAATTAAGGTAAAACGTAGTTAATGGTGTTAAGGAGTCGCACTACAATACGCCAGACTCTCTCCCTCTCTCACTCTCGAATCCCGAACTCGGATCGACAATGGGACACTTGTATCGCTATTCGCGGGGCCCAACGGGAGGGCCCCGCGAACGAGAAAACCGGCCGGCTGCCCTTTTCTCGGGCCCGAGCGCGACAACGCCGCGCCCATTCACGGTAGCCGAGAGAAATCCCTGAGCTTGCGAGAACTCGATTCATTCATCCGCCCGGAGAATCGACGATACGGAGGAAGAGGAGGAGGAGAAGGGGGACACCGATCGTCGGCTGAATGACGACGATGGACCCGAACGAAGAGTCAGAATCGAAAAATCGCGCTTCCACAATCCGCCTTTTCTGCCTTTCGTCTTGCACGCCGACGCACAACGGCGGGGCCGGTGCTTTTGACGATCACTCCGAAGTGAATCCGAGAAACGTTTAGGGGACACCGATCCGGGCCGGCAATTTCTCGCCTCTTGAAGGTTGTTAGCGGACGCATTCGGTTACGGCGATGTAACTCCGAAGCGTGAATGAGCGTACAAGTGATGTATGGAGTGCCCCTTTCAGACCCTGTGACGACTTTTGCTGAATTTTTGGCATCCGAGGTAAGAGGTTGCTTTTAAGTGGCGTCGTTTTTAATCGAATACGAGAGTTCTACACAGAATGGTAGATGTATGATGTGACGGATTAGAAAATAATATAATTCTTTCACAGAGGTAAAGGAGGGTAAGACGATGAAGTGAGCAAAATGACGATTTGCTAATTTTTCCGAGCCAATGACAAATAACGAGTCGGTACACAAATCATTACAGTCTTCTATTAATAATAAATAACCAGTTGTGGTTTGACCTCAATCAATAAACGACAGTAGATAATACAATAAAAAGTATATATTTTATACATCCATATGTAATGCGTATTTGTTGCGGCGTTTTTTCACGAAGAATTGCAAATTTATAGTCAACTTCTTTCAGTATCACGCCACTGTAACTTTCTTACGAGCAAACTTTCGTCGCGTTCTCGTCCCTATTTAGCGGTCATCATCGGGTTAAATCCAATAAGATCCGTCGCATTTCATCCTCTGGTAGGCAGCGTTTCGGCGATTCACGGCATCACGGGCTTAAATGATTCCCCTGCGCGACGTCCAACGTTGCAATCGCAATTCAATTTTCCGGGCCCTCGCGTGCTCACGTCTCGTCACGCAGCGGATTCAATCCGATCTCCGGCAGCGTGAATGATATGTAGATGCCGCGCTTTTGTGCGCCCAATTGGCACTCTCGTGTTGCCAGTTGATTCCACCTGCCAAAAGTCGCCACGCTCCGCGTCGTGGAGCCAGGCCGGCCGCGCTAACGAGAAATTGCTCGGATAATTAAGCGCGTTGCGCCTTCGTGCTGACGAGAAACTTATAATGAGCGGAACTGCGAGCGACGTGCAGGAAAACAGCGGCGATGCTGGCTGTATATTAACCCTTTTAGTGCCGGGAGCCGATATATCGGCTCCTGCTACACCGGCGAGAAGTGCCAGAGCCGATATATCGGCCCGCACCTTGTAGCGCTTTACTATTCGCATTGCGAGAGATCTCTATCAAAATAAATTTAAAATACGTTATAAATAGTCTAATTTCATTACGAGAGAATTAAAATAAATAATTTTTAAATATTGCTTTTCGTTTGGTTTTTATGAGCCTTTTACCAAATCCTAGTAAAATCGGCCGGTTATCTTCGCATAAGCACCTCTTTTTCGCCCGGCACTAAAAGGGTTAAGCGTCATTTGATTTACCCTATCGAATGCCACCAAGTCAGTTAGAGTCGTTATCGATGCGCAGGAATGTCTTTGTGACACGTGCGTTCACTTACACAACCAGCTTGACCGTTCGGTTTGTAGCGGGATAATTCTACCTCGCGTTTCCATAACTCGACTCACAACGAATTCTGCCACTTCACACAAACTATTCAGTTTCGAGAGTCATAAAGCAGGGTAACGTCGAGCAACTGGAACAAGAATATTTTATTTTCAGATACTGCATCTCTCTCGTTTAACAGCTTGTACGCGTACGATAAATTTTCGTCGAATCGAATCCTGTCCAGGTGACCGAGCCTGACGGTGACAACGCGACGAGATTTCCAACCCCCGGCGGCAATTCGCGGCTGCAACCGTTTCTATTCATCTGCGATGCCGACAGATCGTCGTGGTACACCGGACCGTCGAAGAGGGTCTTCGAGTGGCCCTAATGAGTCCGAACGAAACTCGTGAGAGACGACGGTTCGGGCGACTCGAAATCGAGGGAAAGAGAGGCGATGATAAAGAACACAGGCCGAAAAAAGACAAAGCTAGAGAGAGGAGAGGAACGTAGAGCGAGAAAGAGAGAGAGAGAGAGAGAGAGGGTAACGGAGCTGTTGTCGGCGGCCGATTTCTGGTTCCGGTGCGCTAATTCATTTCATCTTATGCGCACTGGAGAGGCGCTCCATCAAAGCTGGAAAAAGCCACCGCGACAGCACTCGATGCGCGATGGAAGGGCGACGGATGACGAGACAGAGTGGTGGTGCGGGCACTCGAAAGTTGAAACCGTTTTTGCCTCTTTACACCCAGCCGGGGGACAATGGTGGATCGTTTTTCGCGAAACACGGTTCCAGCCAACGCTCGCGGGCTCAAACACCGATCAATTGCTACCGATTCGGCAGATGCGATCGTGCGAATTTCAATGAACGGCAGAAATAACGTATTCCGAAGGAATGAAATGTGCGACTTAGAAGGAAATTTTCATCGGACCCGTGGAGGTGCCGACAAGATTGTGAACCGTGAGAGAAGGAAGGGATTAAGAAGAAGGGAATGCCTTGCCGGCGGAAGGACAGGAAGGAGGGAATTAATGTTACGAGATTCGCGAAGCAACAGGGTTTTCCCAAAAAATAATAACGACGCCTCGCTCTCTTCCTCTCCTCGCGAGGCTCTGCGGGCGTTTGAAAGTTTCGGAAATCCCTTCGCAAACGCAAACCCCGACGCTGAAATAACGCGGCGCGCGCGTTCGAGTGCGCGAAATTTAAACGGGGGCGATAAATTCGTTCGGGCACGATAAATTTGTCCCGACCGATGTCGTTCGGCCCGCACAAAGCGCGAAAACTTTCGAGAAGCGTAAACCTTGCGAGACGACGGGAGCACCTCATTGTGACGCGGCATTGTGCAACGGTGTATCGCAGGAATGCATCGTGCGCGGCCGTGACGTCGTCGCCGCCGTGTGTGCACGCTCAATGACGCGAGAATAATTTCGCAGCAACGCCCGCAAACACGACACGATCCTCTTTCCACCTAAGTTTTCATTGTACCGAATCCTATTCGCGCCGGCGAAAGGCACGTCGGCGATGAAGATCGATTCACCGCGGCGGTCGGAGGTCGTTTAATGATCGCGGAGAGGGACAGCGAGAGAGAGAGAGAGAGAGAGAGGAGGGAGAGAGGGAGAGAGAAAGTGAGATAGATAGGTAGAAAGAGAATACGTCCGGGAAATAAATTTTACAAGCGACTCAATGCACGAGGCGCGCACACCGGAGAA